GCGCATCTTCGCCGACACCGCTGCCCGGCGCTGTTTCCGCAGTTTCTCCACCCGGCGCAGTTGCCGCGGCCTTGGAGCTGGAACCGTCGATTGGTCTTGCACCCGTTTCAGCGGATGCTCCCGCAATCTTGTCCAGATCGCGCACCAGAACATCGCGATTGAGCGTTTCAAGGGCGGATGAATAGCTTCGAAACTGGCGCCAGGTTGTCTTGTCGCCCATCGCCGCTATCAGCACGTAAGCCGACCGGATCTTGTAGTCGCCATACCTCAGGGTGCCTTCGAACCAGGCGCGTTCAAGCGCTTCCTGGAAGGGGGTGGCCATTGAGGGCAGCTCTGTCTGGTTGATTTTAAGCTCGCCGATCGCATTTTGAAGATCACTGTGGACGACCCCGACATCGATGCCGAAATGGCGCAGGATATGAACAAAATCGGTGTTCTCGTCGCGCGCGAGGTAATACAGCCAGTGGAGGATTTCCAGATTCCGGTGGCCCGAGCTCTTTGTGAGCCTCATGGCCTGTTCCAGGCAATCGTAGCTGACCGTCGTAAGTTTGTTTGCAACTGTTTCTACAAGAATGTCGCTCATGGCATCGGCCTTTCAAATTGGAGACCTATTGATAAACGGATGTATGCCGGCGAACGGGCCGGAAGCGCGTGTCCGTCAGCATGTCTTCTTCGTCGTCGAATTCCGCGTCGTCCGGAACGCCCGTATCGGCGGGCTTTAGCCAACCAATGTGACCAAGCGTCGCCGAGCTCAAACCGTCCATCCGGACAGCAGAAGCACAGCGTTTGGGCAGCGCGAGTTCGATTTCGTATTCAATCTCGAGCCCGAGATAGAAATCTATGAGATCAAAGAGTTTTTCGGTCCATGGATTTGGCTTTGTCCGTGTCGGTGGCAGGAATTTTCGATATTCATCCAGTGACTGAGTGAATATTCTGATACGGATTTTGTCGCTGACACTGTAGATCTTCGACCCGACAATTGTATCCATGCCGAGTTGTCCGGCTCCGCCGGGCCCAAACCCGCCGATGCTGAGCTGGTCATCCGGTTCAAGATGCAACCATGTGCCGACGCACTGATCGATATCCACATCAACGCCGAACACACCTGTGATGAGCGCTTTCAATCGCGCGGCGCTTTTGGACTTCGAGGAACTCAGACCAGCATAGAGGAGCTTGAGCCTGTCATCGATACCATCAAGGTCCTGGTAGATTGGTCCACCGATGCCGATGCTGGAGCCGAGATATGCAAGAAACCGGTCGTCGTCCGGACGGTCGTGCTGGACGATCGGTCTGGCGTCCGCCCAGGCTCGAAAGAAGAGCTGAATGAAGCGATTGTTAAACACATCCAGGAACCGGGGCAAACTGTCGTCACCCCGCAAACCGCGCATGATCGCTTCATCGTTGAGCGCCGAGGGAAGCGCACCCTGAGGACCGAGCATTCCCAGGAACCGCTCCATAAGGATCAGTCCGTTGTCTGCATCGCGGGTGGCCCGTTCGATTGTCGAGGTAGCGAATTCGCCGGTCGGGTCCTGTCCAAATCGAACAATGTCTTCCATCAGCCGGCGGCTTTTGCCGATGCGCGGAGGGGCCGGCTCATCGGCCTTCTTTGGGTCCATGCCAGCTTGTGCAGCTCCGGGAGCGGTCTGTCCTTCCAGCATGCGCAGTACCGCGAGAAGGTCATGGCCGCCCGGATGTTTCTGGACACGGTCGCTCAGGGCTGCAAGCAGTGATGCATATTGCTGCTGAACTGGAACCTCTATCCGGGTTTCTGCCGGTGGTTTCGGGTCTTCCGGAATTTCAGTGTCGGCCGGTGTCGCGTCCGCAGTAACCGCGTCGACAGGTTCGTCGTCCGTATCATCGGTTGCCGGGATTGCCTCTTCATGGGCTGAAACTGTTTCGGCTTGCGTCAGGTCCGTCTCAAATGGCGCCGGCTCGGAGCCAAGTTTTGCTGGTTCTTCGCCGACAGGTTCAGACGCGGTTTTATCCGCCTCGTCTGCCGTGACGGCGGCGGTTTCCTCATCGTTCTGATTGATCGTTTCAGATTCAGTCGCGGGCGACTGGATCGCGTCTTCAGATATTGTCCAGGGATCTGTTGCGGGAATGTCTATTTCCGTGTCCGCGTCCGCTTCAGCCTCGATGGCCGGAGCGTCGGCATCTGAATCCGGGCCGGGAAGCTTTGTATCTGGAGTATCGTCCGGGTCGGGCCATGCCGTTTTTGCGCCAGCGAAATGCACAACAGTCTTGTCGCCCTCCGGTACATTGTCCTTCGGGCGTACCTTTGTTTTCTGGTCCTTTTCGTCCAGGTCGCTCATAGGATCCCTTTGGCGCCGATCCTCGGTGGCCATTTCATGATGGTACCGCGTTCCGTCGTTGCGATCACGCACTGGGTGAAATGATTGATGGACGCATATTCTGCCAAAAAGCGGTCAAGTACCGCCCCCAGAAGAAACGCGCTGGCTCCTTCAAACGCCTTGTCGTCGAGAGTGATTGTAACTTCCAGCCCACGTGCCACACCGGTTCCGGACTTTTGCTGAAGCCTGCGAACAACCGGGCGGGTCGAAACGGCGCGAACTGATTGCGCCTGCCTGTCGGCCGCATTGTCGGATAACGGAGCGAAGAGGCTCAGAATATCACCGAAGGAGCGGCCATCTTTACCGGCCGCGTCGTGTATCAGACCTGTGTGATTGAGCGCGAGTACGTTGATCAGGCGCCAGGCAATTGCGCCCACGTGCCCTTCTTCGCCCAATCTCTCATTGTAGGAAAGCAGCGGTGGTCTTGGTTGTGTGGGTCCGGCAACACAGTCAACCTTGAGGCTGACGTCTTCCAGAATGCGGAAATCTCCGATGTTCGACTTGTCCGGATTGGTTCCGACCGGCAGATCGGCGGCAATCGCGCGGTTGGATGCCATGACCTTCAGGGACAGTTCGGCAAGTCGTTTGTTGCCACTTTGAAGGATGGCAGCAGCTTGAGCACCGCTTGAAATCGTCACGAAGGTCTCGGTCCCGATATAGGACCTTGGCTGCAGTCTGCGAACCTCGCTGGAAGATTGCCTGCGGGGCAATCTGCGAACGGTATAGAACCATTCATGCCCCGCTTTTTCAGTGTCCGGCGCCACGCTGTACAGCGGCTCGACCGTCCTTTTTTCACCACCCGAAAAGTGTGCATTCACTTCGGTGACGGAATGAACCTCATAGTCGAGAGGCCTCGTGCGATCCGTAATGACGGCGAACTCGTGTTGGCCCTTCTTGATCGGCACTCTGTCCGTGGCTCTTTCGAACAGGTTGACGGCGGGAGATGTGTGAAGAGCGAAAATTTTGTGCTCGACATGGGAGGGAAGGCGGGTTTCGGCCTCGTCGAAAATGAAAACGATTTCGAATGACTTTGCCTTGACGCGATCCAGGTGGCGTCGCAGACCAGTCAGCCGAAAACCAAGAAAACTGCGCGGAAAATTGAAGTAGTCCCTCAGATGGTCGAACCCGATGAACAATCGCCGATCATTGTGGAGCAGCGCATCGTCCTCGTCAAAGCCAAGCTGTTCGACGGCGTTGACCGGCAAACGTTGCAGAGATGCCTGGCCAAAGGCATCCTCGGTTCGAATATAGACAGCGATCGTATGCCCGAAAATCTGTTCGTAGATCTTGGCCGCGAGATCAAGGGGTCCGATCAGCCGGATTGGCAGGTCATCAATCCTGCAACCGGCCACCTGGTATTCCGGTTTCTTGAGCGCTTCCTCGTCGGAGACTTCATTTTCGTCATCCTCTGCCATCCGGTGCGTCAACTTGATGGCCAGGCCCGCTCTCGTGCGCTTGTCTTCTGCCATTTCCGCGCCGAGTCCGGAGACCTGCGCCGCTGAGCTCAGATATTTCGCCCCGGTCAGTTGCAGCGGCGTCAGAACAATGGGCGCGGTGAGCGTGAAACGGCACCTGACTTCGCCCTGCCGCTCCCGAAACACGGCCTCCAGGGGCGCGTGCCGGTCGATCTTGATACCGGACCTCAGGTTGGCATCGCCGTATTTTGGCGTCACGCGCGCCAGTACCATGGACGGGATGGGAGCGAGGGCCGAAGGGTAAAGCTGCTCAAAGAGATTGGACGTGAATTCTGAAAACTCGTGCTTCATCTTGAGTTGAACGCGGGCTGCAAGAAAGGCAGTGCCTTCCAGAAGTCCCGACAACATCGGATCGGATCGGTCCTCAAGCAACCCACCCAGCCTTTCGGCAACTGCCGGGTAAGCTTCCGCAAACGCTGCGCCTTGCTCACGCAGGTAAGTAAGTTCCTGATTGAAAAGGTCCAGAAATTCCCGGTTCATCCAGTCGCCCCGATAATCTTGATTCGACCGAATGCAGGGTCGACATCAGCAATGAATTCACTGCTGACGCGCACCGGGTCACAACGAATTTCGGCTTTGATAACAAATCGTACCTTAAATGTATCGCTCTCGACATTGTCGTCGCGTACGACTTGCAAACTGCGCGGATCCATACGTGGTTCAAAACGAATGAGCGCTTCGCGAATATCGTCGGCGAGACGCTCGATCTGTATGGTATCGACAACATGTACGGAAAGGTCCGGCAGACCGAAGTTCAGGATCGAATTTTCCACCTCGGGAAAATCGGAAAGATCTTGTGTCGAATTGAGATTGACCGTGTTGAGCAACGCCTGCAAGTTCTGCCGAACTTCCGACAAAAGGGTCTGCTCCGATACACCGTAAGCGCGCGACAGTCTGCGGCCTGACTTGAGAGCTTTACCGGAGGCCGAAGCCTTCTGACGATCCTGTGCGGCCTTGTAGTCCGGGTCGTCCATGGCCCGGAATGCCCACATCAGTGGCGAATGCATTTTCACACTAGATTTTGCCATCGGCAACGCCCACGAGAATCCGGTCCTGGATGATGTGCGAGAGGACCAACATCAAGAATGGAATTCTTGTGCCCGACTTTGGAGAAGCGCCCCTCGAAAACACAGGCTGCCGCTCACTTGGAGCGGCAGCCAATTCGGCGAATGCCTTACTTCTTGGTGTTCGCTGCAATGTCGAATGCGAACTCCGGCGCTGCGCCCTTGGAACCGTCCGGCTTCTGTTCGGTATAGACGTACTTGTACTCACCGAAGTTCAGCGTGCAGTTTTCCGTAAGACGATCGTCGGCACCGCTGCCACCAGTCGATACGCTCGTGACGATGATGTCCTTCATCTCGATCTTGATGTACTCAAGCGGAGAGTCGCCAGCAGCCTTGCGGCAGTAGAAATAACCGCCGGCAATGTGTTTACCGGTCGAAAGGTGCTGCAGCAGAACCGGGGTCGATTTGTCGACATACTTGGTAATGCTGAGATCCTGGAAATGTGCCTTTCCACCACCGGAGCCGGAGCCCATGTGCGTTGTACCGGATTGCGAAGCACCCCAGGACCAGGAAAGAATATCAATTTCTTCCTTGTGAGTTTTGTCCTGTGCTTCACCCTTGATGCCTTCAAGCTTCAGAAAATAATCAACAGCCATTTTAAGTAATCCTCTTTTGTGTCAGGCCGGCACCTTTCGACCGGCGCTGTGCTTCCAATATTTGACATCTACCTCGGACCTTCTGGTCCAAACCCCTTGGCGCATTTGCGTCTCGTTTGCACCTCCACCCGGTCGAACCGGATTGCATCCTCGAGGGATGCCTGGCAGTTGGGCGGATCTCCGCCCAACTGCCAATTCTGAAAATCAGTTTCCGTCTTGCGGAATTCTCGAGGCCAGGCTCATGCCGATATCCATGCCCTCAAGCTGATAGTGTGGACGAAGGAAGAACTGGGCTCTGTAGTATCCCGGGTTTTCCTCGTCATCGATGATGGTGACTTTCGCCTCGCGAAGCGGCTTGCGTGCCTTGGTCTCTTCAGTCGAGTTGTCAGGATCGCCATCGACGTAATCCATGATCCAGTCGTTCAGCCAGCGCTGCAGCTGGGCGGACTCCTTGGTGGATCCGATCTTGTTGCGCACCATCACCTTCAGGTAGTGGGCGAAACGCGTGGTTGCGAACATGTAGGGCAGCCGCGCAGAAAGATTGTCCGAGGCGGTTGCGTCCTTGCCGTCCGGGCCGGAGAACTGACGTGGCTTGAAGACCGACTGCGCACCAAGGAAGGCCGCCTGGTCGGTATTCTTGCGATGAATCAGCGGGATCAGACCCAGTCGCGAAATTTCATGTTCGCGGCGATCGGAGATCGCGATTTCAGCCGGGCATTTCTGATCCACACCGCCGTCGTCCGTTTCAAAGACGTGTGTCGGCAGATCTTCAACCAGGCCACCGCTTTCCACGCCGCGGATACGAACTGTCCAGCCATATTCCTTGTAGGCGGCGTTGATGTTCTTCGCCATCGCATAGGCGGAGTTCATCCAGGCATAGTTGTCGTGCGTGTCTTCGTCGAACTCTTCCTCAAAGGCGAATTCCTCGACCGGATCGGATTTGGCACCATAGGGCTGACGCGCCAGAACACGTGGTAGCGACAGTCCCAGATAACGAGCGTCCTCGGATTCGCGCAGCGTGCGCCACTGAGCGTGGATTTCCGTATCGAAGACCTTGGACAGATCGCGTTTGGCCGGAAGTTCAGTCCAGCTTTCCATCTGCATGAGCTGCGGATCTGCCGCCGCAAGGAACGGTGCATGAGCAGCAGAAGCGATCTTCGCCATGCCCCTGAGGACGGTAATGTCCTGCGGATCGTAGGAGAATTCGTAGTCGCCCACGAGGCAGCCGTATGGTTGACCTCCGAGCTGACCGAATTCAGCTTCATAGATCTGCTTGAACAGCGGGCTTTGATCCCACTTGGCGCCGCGGTAGCTCTTGAAGACACCTGCAAGTTCCTTTTTGGAAATATTCAGGAACTGCAGTTTCAAGGACGCATCGGTCTCCGAATTATGAACCAGGTAATCGATGCCGCGCCATGCGCTTTCGAGCTGTTGGAACGCCGGCGCATGAATGATCTCGTTCACTTGCGACGTCAACTTTTCGTCGAGCTTGGCAATCATTTCATCGATGGTGTCGTAGACATCATCCTTGATCAGCGCTTCGTCCGACAGGGCCTCTGAGAGGAATGTCGACATCGCGTTGTCAACGAGTTCATTGGCCGTGTCTTGCTCGCTCTTGATACGGAAATTCTGTTTCAAGATCGAAGCGAATTCCTCCGGGGTTTTTTCACCCGCAACTTCGCCGACGGCGGCACCACTCTTTTGAGCGCTTGTATCGGTGTTGCTCATTTATGCCTCCTCTTCATCGCCTTCCGCTGCGCCGTCATTCGACGACGAGGCACTGTCGGCTTCAATTTTCTTGGCGAGTGCCTGCATCAGTGCGGGATCACGTGTCAGCTCTTCCAGTTGACTGATCGCCTGCACCCTGCCGTCCATCATCGTGCGCAAAGTTGCCAGGCTGTTGCGTGCATCAAGAAGTTTCTTCAATGCCGGTACCTGCTCGGCAACCTTTCCGGGTGTGAAGTCATCCATGCTCTTGAAACGCAGCTGAACGCCAAGTTTTGTGTTCTCATCGCCCGAAAGTTTATCCTCCACAGTGAAGGACGTGCCGGGTTCGATCGCTTCCATCCGCTTGGAAAAATTGTCCATATCGATATCGAGAAACTTGCGCTCGTCGACATCTGCCTTTTCAACTCCCGGACTGTCACCTGACAGATCGGCCATGACGCCCATCACGAATGGCAACTCGACCTTTTGTTCTGCGTCAAATGGATCCTCGTAGAAAATGTGTACTCTGGGTGGCCTATTTCGCTTGATAAAGCTTTGCCCGCTACCTGATGCCATTGTACTTGCCTTTCGTATTTTGACCTCAGAAAAAAATGTTCAATTCAATCAAGTACTCGTACATGGCGCATAAAATACTGTGTCTTTATTTGAGTTGCGCCGCGTTGTTGAAACTATATTTACTTCGAATTCCTGGTTTTGGAAGTGATCACAGTCACATCAATGTCGCTTTACAAATTTTCCTCAAATATTGAGGACCCGTTAGCCGCCTGTGTCAAGGACAAGTATGAGAACTCTAGGGAAACAAAGGTGTTGCTCGTGGCCATGATGGTTCCAGTCTCACTCGTCTTCCGGACGGAGAAAGAGGTTGAGGAGGCCGGTGAAGGACCCGGAGCTCATGTTTTGTGCCTCTTCCAACAGCATCGGGATGGGGCTTGTCGGCTCGTTGGCAGAAAAATATCCCTTGACGGCAGCAATGCCCTTAATCGCATCCGCACGATTCTCAATAACCAGAACAGAAAAGTCGTCGATGCTTCCAAGTTCGCTTTCTTCGCCCTCGTTGAGCTCAATAAGCCTGTCGTTTGAAAGTTGAAGCCCGCTTGCACCGAGCAAGAGTGCGACTTCGTCGAATCTCCGGGGCATCAGAATTTTCAGGGCGTCCAGATAGGACTTGCCAACAAGTCCTCGCGATTCTCGCACCAGAAACAAGGCCGGGTGCGACGGTTCACGGGAGGAGAAATAATCTTCGACCGAATCCAGTATCAGTTTGGCCTGTGCGGCGTTTTTGATTTCCAGGTTGGAAGTCGCGGAAGCCCCGGTGCCGGTCGCGTCTTCCTCGTCGCCTTCAGACGTTGCCGCTTCGGCATCATCCGGTGACATCCGGCCGAGACGAAGATTGAGCTCTGCGCTCATCTCCTGCAGCAGCGTCATCAATGGTTCGTAGTTCGGCGGCGACGCTTTGGCCTCGGCTTCGGTCAGTTTCGCAGAACTGACTTCAGCGATTGCCCGCAACTCGTCAGGCAGTTCTGCGAGATCCCGCAGCACGTCCTCGATGACATCCTGTTCCAGCTCGCCTGATGTCAGGGCAGCTTCAATGGCTCCGAGCGAAATTGTGTGTTCATCGGGACGGGGTGTTGTGTCCCCGTTGGCGATCTTGATCGCGCGGTAGCTGATCGGACCGCTGCGTCGTGTCTTGAGAAGAGGGGCGGCTTCGAGCGGAAGTGTTACTGTTGGTCGATTGTTGAGCGCTTCGAGTGCTCCGACGCGCTCCATGTGTCCGAAATCGGCATCCTGAGGATGAACCTGGTCCCAGTGATCTTCCAGGAGTTTGCGAATAATTCTGATCACATTTGCAAACAGGTGCAACTGCCCGTTCAGGAGGGCGAATTGCGCGAGCATTGCCAGCAGGCGGAGGTCCCTCGACTGCTTCAGGAACCCTTCCATTTGCTTGAAAATGTCAGAGAATTCTATTTCCGAGCGATCGAAGTCGCCAAAGCGTTCGGGCAGCATTTCCTCGCATGCATCCATCAGGGCTGCGAATGCCGGCTCCGTATCATAAAGGTCAGGGCCGCACCCGGCACCGGGCGAAAGTTCGCTGCCAAATGTCTCCGGATCGAAATTCATCTGAGTTTCCTGCCCCAATTCCCAGGTCCCTGCCGATACGCTTCCGGCAGGGACGTCGTCTGAAAAAAATTATTCAAAAACGAGTTTGCTTTCGACCCTTCTGTTTGACGGGTCATTGATGTCGGCGACAGCCGGTCGAGTTTTGCCATAGCCGACGGTTTTCAGGCGGTTTCTGCCGACACCGAGGGAAACCAGGAATTCGGATACGGCTTGTGCGCGGTCCTCCGAAAGGCGCTGGTTGTAGTTCAGCGAACCGATCCCGTCAGTATGGCCTTCGATGACAAAGACGGCACTTGCGAGTTCCGGATCAGCAATCCCCTTGGCAAATTCCCGCAGGTTCACCTTCGCCTCAGTGCTCAGGCGCGCCGACGCGTATTCAAACGAGACGAGTAGATTGAAACCTTCGTCGATTGCCTTGGTATCAGGATCCACCACGAGTGTTTCCGCTGTCTGGTTGTCACCGGCGTTGGCATCTGGATCCTGTGAGGTAACGGCGACCTGGCCACCTTCTTGTTTGGCACCATTCGGATTGCATTCATCCCTTGTCCCGATACACAGCGCACGCGTCTGTCCAGTCGGTTTGAGCGAACGTGTCTTCAACTGTTTGAAATGTTGGCTCACTTCCTCGGCAGAGTAGGTCGCATCTTGAGCCGATGCGGTTCCAATTCCGAAATTCGATCCGGCGAATACGAGCGAAAAGGCGGCTGCGCACAGTACTGTCTTCATCCGGGAACCGGCAAACTCTTTACGGTAATTTGCAGGACCGGAAACAAGGCGGTGATAGGTCACGATTTCAATCCTCCCTTTTGGAGTGCGTGCGAACAATGTCGCATTTAAGTTTCGATATACATCGTGCCAGATTTTGAAAATATTAATGTGGCGAAAGTCACTAAAGTACGGTTTGATATCAGTATGTCGAATTGCGGTGATTTATCAAGAGGAGGCAGGCGTGAGTTTTTTGTGAGGCGGGCAAGAGTCTAATGTGATCTGTTTTCAATTTAAGAATCAGCTGGGTAAGTTATCAATCAACGCTTGGTAATTTCCGACGATGGCGTTTAAACTATTTGCAATAATTGTGTTCCCGAGCACATCAATTTTGTCGGAAACGCCATAGGAAATTGTCAGACGACTGCAAACGGCAGTTGTTTGTAACCGAAGTATTTCCGAGGAGACCTCCGTGGCCACTGGACAACTCAGACAAACCGATCGCATGGCCGAACTCAAAACGGTCTTTGGCGAAGATGAGCTCTCCTTAGTCACCGTAGAGTGCGATGAGGGACTGAGCGAAGAATTCGAGATTCGTCTTGAAGTCGTAAGTCAGCAGGAAGATCTGGATTTTGATCGCGCCATTGCGACTCACATGACTGTAAAGGTCAAAACGAACAATGGTGATACCCGTTACTTCGACGGACTTTTGACGGATGCCAGGTGGGCAGGGCATCAAGGCGGATATTACCGTTATAAACTGCTCCTGCGCCCCTGGTTCTGGTTGTTGACCAAAAACGCCAACTGCCGGATTTTCAAGGACATGTCCGTCCAGGACATCCTGGCCGAGGTTCTGGGCGGGCACGACTTTGCTGATTTCGAAGACAAGCTCACCGAATCATACGATCCGATCCATTATTGCGTTCAGTATCGCGAGTCGGATTACGACTTCTGCTGCCGGCTGATGGAAGAGTTCGGTATTTCGTATTGTTTCGAACACTCCGACGGCAAACACACCATGATTCTTGCCGATTCCAAGTCGTCCTACAGCCAAATTGAAGGCGATCCCAATATCCCGTTCATTCCACTCGGGGGGGACAGTCAGCGCGACGAAGAACACATCTATGACTGGATACCGGGCCGGAATTTCAGGACCGGAAAATTTGCGATCAACGATTACGATTTTGAAAAACCAAGTGCTTCGCTTGAGGCTGAAAAAGACGCAGGCTCCTCCTATCGGGCCGGTGCGCTGGAAAGCTATGACTATCCCGGCCGATATACCGAAAAGGACAAGGGGACGAAATACTCCAACATTCGCCTTGAAGCAGAGCAGGCAGCGGACAAGCGCATCGAATGCGCAGGCGAGGTCGTGCGTCTTTATGCAGGCGGCCTGTTCACACTGAAAGAGCACCCGCATGGCCCGCAGAACAAGGAATACCTTGTTGTCCGGGCTAGCCACCAGATTATCACCGAAAGCTACCGGTCTGGCGAGAGCGGGCCTCAGGAAGAGGCCTACACCGGTGCCTACGACGTCCTGTCGACAGACATTCCATTCAGAACGCCGGCGCATACTTCGAAGCCGCGTATTCCCGGTCCGCAGACGGCCAAGGTCGTGGGGCAGGGAGAAATCGACGTCGACGAATACGGTCAGATCATGGTCGAATTTCACTGGGATCGGGACAAGACACAGTCGCGCCGTGTGCGCGTTGCTCAGGTCCTGTCCGGACAAAACTGGGGCGGTGTTTACACTCCGCGCGTTGGCCAGGAGGTGATCATTCAGTTCCTGGAGGGGGATCCAGACCAGCCGATCGTTATCGGAACCGTGTACAACGCGGACAACATGCCACCCTATTCCTTGCCCGGCGAGAAGAACAAGTCCGGTATCAAGACAGATTCAACAATCGGTGGCGGTGGCTACAACGAGATGGTCATGGATGATTCCAAAGGCCAGGAAAAAATTGGTGTACACGCACAAAAGGACATGGAAACCGTCGTTGAGAACAATGACGATCTTCACGTGAAGAATGATCGGACCACCAAGATCGACATGAACCGCACTGAAGAAGTCGGCATCAACGTGACCGAAGACATTGGCGCAACCTGGAAAGTCAAGGCAGGTGCGATGATCGAATTCAAATGCGGCGCGAGCAAGATCACTATGACGCCCGCGATGATTCAGATAAAATCACCCGTAATCCAGATTCAAGCGGACGCGACCTTGAATGCCAAGGGAGCCCTGACAATTGTTGACGGAACCGCAACGCATATCGTGAAGGGCGGCATCGTTCTGATAAACTGATGTGTTGGCGCTGTGAGCATGACGGACTGCTGATGGAGTAATTTGAATGGGATCTCGTATCCGCTTTACAATGGCGAAGCAGGTTTTTGAGACATTTCCTGAGTTGCATGAGAAAGTCAGCTCTCCCGAGGGTGATGTCTCGCCACAGGACTACACACTTGAGATTCTGGAAGGTGAGGATCCGTTTTTGGCAATCACCTATTTCGCACACATCTTGCCGAAACCGGAGGCGGTCTGGTGGGGCATAAAGTGTGTTGAAGGTCTCGATCGTGAGAAAAGCGACCATGACCGCGAAGTTCTCAAGCTGTGCGAGAATTGGGTCCGCGAGGGAGATGAAGAGGCGCGTCTTGCCGTTGTCGCAATGACGGAAGACGCTCGTGGCGACAGTGGATCTCTGTGGATCGGGCGCGCTGTGAGCTGGTCCGGCGGGTCATTGTCCCCCAACCCGGACTTTCGTGTCGATGTTCCACCGGGTCTGACTGCGACGGCTTTGAACGCCGCGCTGCAAATCGTAATTGGCAATCTGGGACCGGGCGAGCGCGAAGAGGGCCTGAAGTCTTGCCTTTCCTCTGGCCTGTCATTCGCTGAAGGTGGGGTAATGCCCGTTATCAACCTCAAGAAACAGGCAATCGCCTGAGAGCGAGCGGGAGACATGCTGGAATGCGTATAACGCTCCAGATTGAAAATGTGGATCGACTCGAAACCGGTGGGCAGGTTTCCTATACCTGCTCCGACCGCGGATTTGATATCGGCAGGCACGAACATCTTGATTGGAGCCTTCCGGACCCGCAGCGTGTAGTCTCTGGAAAGCATTGTGAAGTCCGCTTCGAAGGTGGGCAATTTGTCCTGTATGATGTTTCGACCAACGGCACGTTTCTCAACGGCAATCCGAATCGCATGGACAAGGCGCACCCGCTGCGGTCCGGCGATCGGTTGATGATCGGCGACTATATCGTCGTGGTATCGCTTGATGCCGAGGGAAGCGCTGCCGCCGGGTTTGGCGGTGCGCCTGCGTCAGGTGCTGAACAGGGGTTCCAGCCTCAACCGGCCCAATGGCAGGCACCACAACAGCCCGCACCTGCAGCAGCCGAGCCGCAATGGCCGTCCGCACAGCCGCCGGTACAGGCACCTTATCCCGATCCGGGTGGAGGAGGGCCCTGGAGTGGCGCTCCATCCGCCGGGATGGAAGGACGGCACGCTCCGCCATCTCATGCACCAGGTGTTGGAACCCCGGCTGATGACGTCTGGAGCCAACAGGGTCATGGATGGGGGAGCGCGGATCCTGCGCTGTATGACCCTCAGTCACAGAGGCCTGAGGCTGCACCCGCCAGACCTGCACAAGCGGATCCCCTGGACCATCTTGCGGCACAGCCGAGCGTTCAGCCGCAATCACCGGCCGTTGAGCAGCAACCTGCTCTGCAAGGCGAACCTTCTCAGGCCGCCCCTTTTCCGGGAGCTGCTCCGGGGGCAGCACAGCAGGGTGCAGCCGAGCCCATATTCAAGATGCCGGACATCGCCGCCGGTGAGGAGCCGGTAGCCCCGCCACCTGCAGTGGACGCGCCGCCCGCTGAGCCTGCTCCTCAACCGCCGCAACAAGAACCTGCAGATGTCTTTCCGGCAGAGCCGGAAGGTTCTCCGTTTCCCGACACTCCGGCAGAGGACGCGTCGGACCATTCTTCTCGAGGAGCAGAGGCCGAACAGCATGTGCAAGAGGTCGCCACTCCTTTGGAGGAACCCGCACCGCAGGAGCGCGCGCCTGTTGCAGAAATTGCCCAACCGGTGAAAGAAGCTCGGCAATCGGCCGAACAGGTCGGTGCTGACGTGGTCGAGATTGCAGGCGCAGACTTCCTAAAGGCGTTTTCGGAAGGTGCGGGCATTCCTGAAACGCTTCTGGCAGGCCGGGATCCTGAAGAATTCGCCCGGGAGATCGGTTCAGTCCTGCAGGATATTACAAGCGATCTGATGGGGTTGCTTCAGGCACGCAGCAAGGTCAAGGCCATGACCCGTAATGCAAACCGCACACTAATAAGCCGCAGCGGAAACAATGCGCTGAAGTTCTCTCCGACACCTCAAATGGCGCTTCAGACAATGCTTGCGCACAATGTCGAGGACACTGGTTACCTGCCGTTGCCCAAAGCTATGTCTGCCGCCTTCAAGGATATCCAGAAACACCATGTCTGGACATATGCGGCAATGCAAAAGGCCGCAGCACGTTTTGATGAAACGCTTTCGCCAAGGGCAATTGAAGAAGAGGGAAAGGTCGCCAAGAGCACATTCAGCAACCAGAAGGTAAAGCTCTGGGAGCATCTGAACGAGCGTTGGAGTTCGCTGGCAGGTGCTTATGACGATGGTCTGGTCGGCGTTTTCACGCAATACTTTACCGAAAGTTACGAAGAATTTTCAAATGAAGAGCCGGAGCAATAAACGGCTGGCAAATATTGAGTAGGTTTGAAGTTTCATGGGCGAACAGACGCCGGCAAGATTAAGGGAGCAGTGCCTGAATGTCGTGGTATAGCAAGGTTGCATGGACCGAAGGCCTGTTTTTGAGGCCGCATCATCTGCAGCAGAGCGACCGGTACGCCGAACATTTGCTGGATGAACGTATCAGGCTTGCCTCCTCATATCCTTGGGGCTTTTCAGAGATTGAAATCGATCAGGATGTCGGGCAGCAATGTCGATTTGCGCTGCGTTACGGACGCGGTATTTTTCCGGATGGCACCGTTTTCAACTTTCCAGCCGACGGAACGCCGCCGCCAGCCATTGATGTTCCCGAAGATTCAGCCGGCCAGATCGTCTGGCTCGGAATCCCGGAGACGACCGTCAACGCAGTCGAGGTGGCCAGCGGCAGGGAAGATGCGGCGACGCGCTACGTTCAGGGTCGCGAGACGATTATCGATTCGACCTCGGCCATTCGGCAGGAAGAAGAAATCGATGTCGCACATCCGCGGCTGATGTATTCGATACGGGCCACACCCCATCCGGGACATGTCTGTCTGCCGGTCGCCCGTATTACCGAAATCAAGGACCGTATCGTGATCACCGACGGCACGTTTGCGCCGCCGGTTCTTGCCTGCCACGTACATCCCGTTGTGACCGGATGGATCGACTCGGTGATTGGCTGGGTGGAAAGGAAACTGAGCGAACTTGCGCGATATGCAGCCGATACGTCGGCAGGCGGCGGATTACAGAATTTCGATTACCTGACGCTGCAAATGCTCAATCGGCTCCATCCGCAACTGATGCATCTTCGCAAATCGGCTTATGTGCATCCTGAAAGGGTCTATTCGGAATTTATCCAACTGGCAGGTGAACTGGCCACATTCGCAACAGAAGAACGGCGGGCCCGAAACTATCCGGTCTACGATCATGACCGTCTGCATGACATCTTCAAGCCGGTGCTCGCCGATATACAGGCGTTTCTGTCTGCCGGTTACGACCGCCGTGCAATCCGCCTCCCTCTGGAACAGCTTGCTCCCAATGCCTTCAAGTCGACGATTGTCGACCGCAATCTTTTCTCGCAGGCGAGTTTTGTCATCGAAGTTGCGGCACGTCGTCCGCTCACCGAGATCCAGAACGAATTTCCGCGGCTGTTCAAGGTCGGTCCATTCGGCCAGATGCGCCAGATCGTCTATTCAAATCTGCCGGGTATACCGCTAATTCACATGCCGGTCCCGCCCGCTCAGATCCGGGCTCTTACCGATCGGGTCTATTTCCGACTGGACAAGACGACACCGCTTTGGCGCGAATTCAGCCAGGACTCCGCGATCGGGCTACAATTTTCCGGCAACTGGCCGGACCTTCAGCTTGAATTCTATGCCATTCGGGAGGGACGATGATGTCGGACAATGACGACCCCTTCGGTGTTTCCAAGCGAAAGGGTAAAACGATTGTTCGGCCCAACCCCGGGGGGCGTTGGAGCGAAACGTCTCAACCGGGAGCGCCGCAACAGCCGCAGCAACCTCCACCGCCGCCCGCACAGGGCCAGCCGCCACAGGCACCGCCATCACCACAGCCTCCCGGTGCTCCCGATCCCTGGCAGGGAGGACGCGGGTCGGGTCCTGACCCTTATGCACCGACCCCGGCAGGTTATGAATATGGACAGCAGAAAGCACCCGATATCCGGACGCCGCCACCGGCTCAGCCTTCGGCGCCGCCGCCTCAACAACCAGTCCAACCCGCTGCCGCTCCCGGAGCACAACCAGCCGGACAACTGGCCCAAACTCCGGACATAAACCAGATCCGCGTCGCAAATCGGAATCCGATTTCCCGTGCCGCAGCGCCGTTGCTTCTCCTTTTGGGACGGCTGCATCTGACAATGACCGATGCGCAGTTCGACGCGTTGATGCGCGATGTCTACAATGCCATCAAGGCCTTTGAAAAAGACTTGCGCAACGTTGGCATCACCGACGACCAGATACAGTCGGCCGCATACGCACTATGCGCCACATCGGACGATATCGTTCAGAATCTACCGTCCGCCGGAAGACATCAATGGACGCAGTATTCCATGCTGACCCAGTTCTTCGGACAGGCAACCGGCGGCGTGGAGTTCTTTCAGGTTCTTGAGAAGGCCAAGCAGGATCCGGGACGAAACTATGGTGTTCTGGAAGTCATGCATTCTTGTTTGTCGCTCGGGTTTTACGGAAAGTACCGTGCGATTCAGGGTGGTCAGCAGGGACTGGAGCGTGAGCGGCGGGACCTGCACGAAATCCTGAGACGCGTCCGGCCCCGCCCGGGTGACGATCTTTCACCACATTGGCGCGGACTGGACCTGCTTCAGAAACGCACCGGATTTTCAATTCCTATCTGGTCGGTCGCAGCCGTTGCCAGCGCGTTGTTGCTCGGCGGATATGTCACGTTGATGTTGCTGCTTGCAAGCGGCAGCGAGGTTCTGGCAGGCCGCACGTCGGCTCTTTATCCGACCGGACCGCTCGAACTGGCTCGGGAAGGTTACCAACCGAAGCCGCCACCGCCGCCGGCACCACCGGATGACGCACCGATTGACACGGTTGCAGAGCAGCTTGCCGGCATTGACGGATTGGAGATTTCTCAAGCCGGACCCGCCATCATGCTGCGGATGCGCGCGCAGTTTGATGTGGCCGCAGCGACGCTGCGCCCCGAGTTTCAGCTTCTCGTCGAACAGGTCAGCCAAACGCTCGACCAGATGGAAGGCGACATTCTCGTCGTTGGCCATACCGACAGCGATCCGATCCGAAACAATCCGCGCTTTCCGACAAACTGGCATTTGTCCGTCGAACGGGCGAAATCCGTCGCAGCTGTAATGCAGGCCCTATTGCAGACGCCGGACAGGGTCGAGGTCGAGGGACGTGGCGCGGACGAACCCGTAGCTCCCAACACCAACCGCGAAGGCAAGGCACTCAATCGGCGGGTCGAAGTGTTTTTGAAACCACCATCCAAGGGACTGGTGATTGACAACTGATTTTTAATCTCCGGGGCAACCGAAGAACAAGGCGACGTCAATGAAATTCTGGCTCGGAATAACGGCAATAGTGATTGGAATTCTTGCCCTCATTGCTCTGATCTGGTTCGGAGGGCCTTTTCTTGGCATTGCTGGCGTGCGCCCGTTTGAACCGCTCTGGGTGAGACTGCTGCTGATCTTTTTGATCCTTCTCACGATCGGTGGCTGGACCGGGTACAGGATTTACAAGCGTATTGCGGCCAACAGGGCCCTGGAACAGGAGATTCTTCAGCCAAAGGCGAGTGAAGAGGATCTCCAGATCCTGTCTGAGCGCATGAAAGATGCGCTGAAGACCCTGAAGACAGCCAGCGGCAACACGCGCACATATCTCTATGATTTGCCCTGGTACCTGATGATTGGCCCTCCGGGCGCAGGCAAGACCACGGCTTTGATGCATTCCGGGCTGAAGTTCGCCAACTCCAGAGGAAAGGGCGAAGCGCAGAAACTAGAAGGTCTTGGTGGAACGCGCTTTTGCGATTGGTGGTTTGCTGAAAACGCAGTTCTGATCGATACAGCCGGCCGCTACACGACACAGGATTCCGACGAAGAACACGATCGGGAAGCGTGGCTTGGGTTTCTGAACATTTTGCGCAAGGCCCGACCACGACAGCCGGTCAACGGGGTCATGGTTTCGATCAGTCTGGAAGACCTGATGACGCTTTCGGACGAGGAGCTGAAGCAGCATACCGACGCGATCCGGGCACGGCTGATTGAACTTTACAAGACATTGAAAATCGATTTCCCGGTCTATGTCATCTTCACGAAAGCCGATACGGTTGCCGGTTTCATGGAGTTTTTCGGATCCTATCCGGAAAGCCGACGGAATCTCGTCTGGGGCGCAACTTTCCAGACGCGCGAAAAGACCAAGAACATGGTCGCCGAGACTCCGGCGGAATTCGATCTCTTGATCGAACGCCTGAATGAGGAACTCGCGGACAGGCTTCAGGAGGAACCCGATCCGCGGGCGCGCCTGATGCTGTATGGTTTTCCGACACAGGTTGCGGCGCTCAGGGACCGGATAACCGGATTTCTAAATGCCATATTCGAACCTAGCCGGTACTATCCGAATGCTGTTCTGCGTGGGTTCTACTTTACATCGGGAACCCAGACAGGAACCGCGATAGACCGGGTTATCGGGTCCATGAGCCAGGCGTTCGGTACCTCGTACCAGGCGGCCGCGCTTTCGGGGCAGGGCAAGAGCTATTTTCTTCGCGATTTGCTCAACCAGGTCATCATAGGGGAAGCTGGTTGGGTCACGCATAATCGTCGAGTGGTCCGAATGGCGACGGCTGCCAGAATTGCAGCCTACACCGTGATTGTCCTGGCGACCCTGGGGCTGGGAAGTCTGTGGACGATCAGTTACCTGAACAACCGGGCTCTGATCGATGAAACGGCAAAGGCTGTGGCTGCAGTCCGCGCGGAAGGTGAGGGCGTTCTTGAACAAAGGGTCGTGCGCGATGATAGCTTGCGCGATTCTGCTTACATTCTCTCGCTGCTGCGCAGTCTTCCGGTAGGCTATGATACCCGAAACGATCCGACGCCTTTCATGGAAAAATTCGGGTTGAGCCAGCGCGAACGTCTTCAGGCTGCCGGGATCACGTCCTATCGAAGCGGTCTGGAGCGCTTGCTGCGTCCACGCTTGTTGCTTCGGATAGAAAAGCAGATGACAGACGTCCTCGACAACCGGACAGGCCCGGGAGGACAGGACATTGAGTCGCTTTACAATCTGATAAAGCTGTATCGCATGGTCGCCGGTGACGCGCCTGAAATCGACAAGGACCAGATCAAGAATTCTTTCCGAGCGGACTTTCTGCAGAGTTTCCCCGGACCACAGGGACAGGTTCTTCGAAACGAACTCAATTCGCACATAGCCGCGATGCTCGATCTCGATTTCGGCGGCAATGTGCTGACCGATCAACTCGACGGCGTACTTGTCGCGGAAGTTCAGCGGGAACTTGGAAGGGTCAGTCTTTCCGAACGGGGCTATGCGCTGTTGAAGTCAAGATCCAAGGGGCTTGCAAGCGAAGACTGGATCGCGGAGCAACGCGGCGGTCCGGATATGGAAACCGTGTTCGAAACGGAAAACGGCGACACCCTCGACACGGTTCTGGTTGACAGATTCTACACCTACCCGGGCTTTCACCTGTCTGTTCTGCCGAATCTGGCCGGCATCCGGGAAGAGCTTGAACGTGACAGATGGGTGTTTGGCGAAATTGGCGAAGTGGACGCTTTTTCCGATCAGTACCAGTCTCTGCCGGCAGAGGTCCTTGCGCTTTACACGAAAGATTTCATCGAGGCCTGGGAGGAAGCGCTTGGAAATCTGAAATTCAAGTCCATGCGAAACGACAAGCCGCTCTATACGACACTTCAAGCTGTCTCGGCGCCGACGTCTCCGGTCGTTCAATTGCTGGAAAGCATTCGCAATGAGACATTGCTCACTCAAGACCTGTCACAGGAGGGGCTGACAGCGTCGCTTGATGGCGGAAACGCAGCGCAGGCCGGCAAGTCGGCAGCCCAGAAAGTATTTCAGCAGTATGTTCTCGATCGGGCTGGTGGCCTGAAACGAATAGGAATTGAAGCCGGTGTTCAGGCGTTGGCACCCGGGGGTGTTTCCGACGCGCTTGGAGCCGTAGCCGGTGGAGGCGGTCCTGTGATCATTCCTGGCAAAGGGATCGAGGATCACTTCCGGCCCTATCATGTTCTGGTCGAGGGCGAAAACAGCCGGAAAATTGACGCGCTGTTGGTCAACTTCAAGAATATCCTGGACAATCTTCTGGTTGTCGCAAACAACCCGGTCCAGAGTGAAACCGCAAATTCCAACGTTCAGATCCAGGCATCATTACTGAGAAGCAATGCGACCCGCTTCCCTCAGCCTTTTGACAAGCTCATTCTCCAGTCTGCCAAGGAATTCGATGAGGAATTCAAGGAGACTTCGATCACTCAGCTGAACGAAAAACTCAAGTCGCAGGTGGTCGAGGCGTGCCAGCGGATCGTGACGCGCAATTACCCGTTCACGAATGGACGTTCTGAAGTTCCAATGACGGAGTTCGCCAAACTTTTTTCACCAAACGGTATCATGCAGCAATTCTTCGATCAGAACCTGAAGGCGCTGGTGGATACGTCGTCACGGCCCTGGAACTGGAAACCGGGGGTGGCACAGGCTGACAGGCTTTCAAATGCAACGCTTCGCCAGTTCGAGCGTGCCGATCTGATCAAGCAGGCGTTTTTCCCGACCGGAAACGCGTTTCCCTCGATCGGATTGCAGGTCGTGCCGCGCGCATTGTCCCAGCAGGCTGATGCTGCCAGTCTCGAAGTCAATGGAAACCTCGTGCTTGTGACGCGTGGGCCTGGTTTCAA